GCTTTTTCTCCCCGACTGGGGGGGGGGGGTGGCAGCTCTCCTCGACGGGGGACCCTGGGCCACCCGCTCGCGCCACCCCTGCTCAAAGTAGGGATTTTTTTAAATGAAAAAAGTGAAAAATCGATCAGTTTAATTGATTAATAAGTATATATAGCAGTTATTAAGTAGGCCTATCTAATAAAACTGATTTTCCTTGGCGTGTGCCATACCACCCTGACTGGAGCCGTTGTAGGGCCTGAGTTGAACCCCTGTAGAAACGTACAGTAGCTTATTCTAATACTGACCCCCCACCCGAAGTTGATTCCTCTGATTTCTTATGCTCTATGGCGTATTTATCACCTGGTAGATCTTTCCATATGATGGGAATACCATACATGGTCCTCTTGCCATTAATAAACCAACACTAAATAATATACCAGCAGTCTGTTATTTAGAAATTTAACGTATACACCTTGCTTAATTCAAAAGCCATTTAATTGGTTTACTAAATAATGCATAGCATATTGTACCCTGTGTATTCGTAACACATATTTAATTTAGACCACATTTTTTATATGTATTTCACAATATCCGTCAACTCGTATAATAGGCGCACATCGCTTGTTATTTATATTGCATTATACGGTAATTATGTTCGTGTATCTTGCACTACGGTATATTTATTCATGGATGAATAAGCATACTCTACCATGTGTATATATAACACATGTTTTATTTAATTAGCATAATGTCATCATTATAGAGCAAAATGCTGTAGTCGGTGCTGAGGTGCGAACATTTTGTTCATTTCGGTGATTTGTGGAGGGCATCGTTTGCTTTTAAGTCCGTAGTTGTCTTTAGTGTTGTCGGTGTCGTCGTAGTCGGAGTCGTTGCTGCGTCCGTTTAGTGAGAAAAATGCTTTCCATCTCATGCGTTTAAGAAGGCTTTCCACTTTTTCGATGAGTTTCTTCTTGTAAGCGTTGGCTGTTGGTATAGGGATGTTATATATATATATATATATATATATATACTTATATATATATATATATACATATGTATTTCATAGTAAAACATTTGAATTCTGAGAGCATGGATATGATTCTAATGTTCTAATGTAATACATGAGTTACGTAATTTTTAAAATACCATACAATATTTGACCTTGAATGACCTATTTGTGGCAGTCTGACCAGGTAAAAAATCGTAATGGTATGGTATATACATTGAATGACCTTAAATGAACTTTTATTATCTTAATGACCATCTGACCATGTCACACGTGTTATAAATCCTTGACCATGAAATATAATTTTAGATATCATAATTCTCATTAAAGTGGTTTAAAAACCGATATATTGATAAATATAGGATTTGCGTGGAGCAATTTTGAAATTCAAGATGGCCACCAGAATGACCTCGAATGAAATATTGTAGTTCATAGTAAAGATTTTGAATTCTGAGAGTCAGGGTACGGTTCTAATGTAAAATATGACAATTATGTAATTTTTAAGATACCATACAATATTTTACCTTAAATGACGTATTTGTGGCAATCTGACCAGGTCAAAAATGGTATGATGGTTTTCCTTGACCATATAAAAATAGTTTCAGACATTAGAATTATAATTCCAAGTGGTTTAGAAGCGGCGATATAGATAAACATAGGTTTTATATATTATTCGGCCATTTTGAAATCCAAGATGGCCGCCATAATGACCTCGGATTAGGTGGTTCCTACCAAAAATTGAATGCTATGGCCATAAGGAGCATGTAAAAAAAATTGGTGCTTTTGTCCGGAACGTCCATATCCATCTGCTAAGCTGCCGGACTATGATATGTCCTTTACCTGACACGCCTCAGTCCACATCTTTATGTTCAACTCCTGGCTAGATACCTCTTTACTAACCCTTTTGATAACATATTTGCATACTTTTACACTTCACTTAAGTGCACGAATCATACACTGGCATTTTGCCTTAATATTCATGTAACTTATTACAATTCACAGATCGTTATATTTATTAGTTGATATAGTTACCAGTACGTAAAGTAGAATGAAATATTCTAATATTGTGACACGGGTCCCTGAATAAAAAAATGGCTTAGTATCAGTCTTCAGTTTTTCCTTTCTTTTTAAAATTTTCATCAATTTACATAGTACAAAAATATACATAATAGTAATTTAACAAAACTTGGTAAATAAACGAATAGAGATAAAGAAAAATAATAGATAAATAAATACAAAAGCCAAAATCAAAAGAATGAATAGGATAAATAGCATTCCTTATTTAAATGATCAACAGATGATAACTTATATTGTACATTGTATTTTTCTTATCTTTTTTTTTTAAATACTTTGAATCTTAATTTTAACTTAAATATGGTAATATAAACAATGAACAAAATTCTTTCTTATATGAATTACTTTAACTTTTAATTAAATAAAATATAGCGTCTTTGTTTTCCCTAATGGTACTGAATAGATCCAAAATTTATTTTTTAAACACATTTTCTTTATTAATTCAAAGAAGCAATGGTAAATTCAAAAGTATTTTAAAAATATTTTTTTAGCACAAACATATTAACTTCGAATAGAAGACAAGAAATTTCCTTTAAAAGTAGAAAAAATATATAATTATTCCCTTTATGAACTTTAATTATAAATTTGATTAAAGTGTAACAGCTTTTTTTTTAATGTTAATAATTCAAAGTCAGTTTCTAAATATATTTGTAAAATTATGAAATAATGATCAAGTAAACATACAGTATTTCTATATTTTCCCATTTTTCCTTTATAAACACATCTTTAACATAAAGTACAACATTTTATTTCTCTTTAAAATCATAATTTAGTCTTCTTAAGCAGTAATATTACAGAATCAATTAATAAATTAGTTCAGTCTTAGTATTGGCTCAAAATTGTGCCTTTGGATAAGCAATTTGATATTTTGGTCTGACGACCTCGTGGTGGCGTCGGATGACGGGGATCCGGGCCTGTCCGACGGGGGCAATGGGGCTAAATGTCTTATAGAAATTTCCATAAACAATTTTTTTTTGTAAAAATGTATATAATTTGGCTATCCTGTTTTATAACCAGGGCTAGAAATATGTTGCTCTAAACGTTCACGGCACATTTAGTCCCGTCAGCGCACATTGTGATGATCCGGCTATTGAATTTTTCAAACACACATGTTTTGTATTTGTTTGTATTAATTCATATCATGTAAGTTCTTTTATTCACATTTCTTCTACATCATCTAATATCACTTCTCTTTCTTAATCTACTTCCACGTCATTCTGCTTCGCCACTCATTTTTCTTCTTCTTCGTCTCCTTTTCCTTCTCCTTGTAAGACAATCTTTCCTCCACCTACAACTGCAGCACTTTTTTCTTCATCTTCTTCCACGTCACCTGCTTCCACTAATTCTTTCTCTTCTCCTTTTCCTCCTCCAGTATTTCCTCCACTAGCACCTGCAGCACCTACAACACCTGCAGAACCTAGAGCACCTGCAGCAGCAGCAAGAACCATGCCTTGCGCACTTAGTCCAGCAGCCCCTACAGATTGCAGTATGGCAACAACACTTCCAGCTGCAACTCCTCCTCCGTTAGCTATGGCAGCAGCCGACATGAGTTGTGCTCCAATGGATCCAGATGCAATTCCAGCTGCAGTAAAACCTAATAGATACGGACCAACTGTAACAGTTCCAACACCAATCAACGCTCCTCCTATTAATGTTTTCTGTAATAATTAGGGCAAAATTAAGCAATTGAGATTATGGAATCGATTATACTGTAAGACCTGTGAATCCCAACACTGCTTGGAATTTTGATGGTAAACCCCGCCAAAACTCTTCCATTGAATCCCGCCATGGGCTATGCAGACAAAACAATTGCGTAAAATTGGGCATTTTGAAGTACAATAGATCTCAGACTTCTCAAGAAAACTTGTTATGGTCAGTATTCTGTGGGGTGGGGTGTTGGGCTGTCTCTTGGGGGGGGGGGTAAATTAGTTCTCTGGTGTGGGCGCATTAACCCAGTCTGACAGCCCAGTGTTTTCAAAACTGCGCTCTTATACACTGCAGAATAGACCTAAAGTTCAATATTTTTAAATTTAATGCTATTGTGATGTAGGCCCAGATGATGTTTTAATACTTTGATACTGGCCGAGAGTACCGTATAGCCTGCTCGAATGATTCTTTAATTTGGTCTATAAAGGAGGACACCTTTGGGACCAAAATAGTCTTATTGACAGGGGGACGTCCCCTGTATATGGATGGCCGTATTTGGTGAACACTAACCAAAAACGAGAAATTATCCAATCTATGGGTGCTGGCATTTACAGTAGTAATGCAAAGATTACTCACCGCAATTTTTTTATGACTATTCTCTTCTTTTTCATTTTCTTCTTGTTCTGGATTTTGTTTTTGTTCTAGTTCCTCCTTCTCATTCCCCTTGTCTTCCTCCTCCTTCTTCTTCTCTTCCTCCTCATTCTTCTCATTCTCCTTCTTTTCCTCTTGATCCCATTGTCTTCCTGTTAATTTTATCTGCAATAATTAGGACAAAATTAAACAATTGAGTTTATGGAATCGATTGTACAGTAAGACTGTGAATCCCAACACTACTTGGAATTTTGAGGGTTCACCCCCGCCCGCCAAACCTCTTCCATTGAATCCCGCCATACTGGCTACACAGACAAAACAATTGCTTAAAATTGGGCATTTTGAAGTACAATAGATCTCAGACTTCTTGAGAACTTTATTCTGTGGGGGTGGGGTAAATTATTCTTATTGACAGAGTGATGTCTCCTGTATATGGATGCCCGTATTTGGGGAGCACTAACTAAAAACGAGAAATTATCCCCTTTATGGGTGCTGGCATGTAGTAATGCATGCTGGCATGTAGTAATGCAAAGATTACTCACCGCAAATTTTTTATGATTATTCTTCTCTTCTTTTTCATTTTCTTCTTGTTCTGGTTTTTGTTTTTGTTCTAGTTCCTCCTTCTTCTCCATCCCCTTGTCTTCCTCCTTCTTCTCAATCCCCTTGTCGTCTTCCTCCTCCTTCTCCTCCTCCTTCGTCGTCTTCTTCTTCTTCCCATCCTCTTCCTCCTCCTTATTCTTCTTCTCCTTTTCCTCTTGATCCCATTGTCCTCTTCCTCCTTCCCATGCCCATCGCCAGAGTCTATTTGCTTCATGTCTAACTGCAGCACTTCCAGTGGCAGCAAGACCTATGCCTTTCACACCTAGTCCAGCAGCCCCAACTTCTCCCTCGTTATCTGTACCTGCAGACGACATGGGTTTTGCTCCAATGGATCCAGCTGCAATTCAAGCTCAAGTAAAACCCGGAAGATACGGAATAGTGGTAACAGCTGCAGCAGTAACTGCAGCTCCTGATACTGTATCTATATCTGTTATGAATGCGAAAACAACAATCTATGCTTAGGCCTTAGCTGATAATATATTAGTAACTTAAATATTTTATTGAACAATACAAGAACGACCGCTCATTGGTCTTCGCGTTAAACCGAGGTTATCTCGTCAGTTTCACGGTAAACTTAATTTCATCTCCAACTTGGTTGCTTTCTAGTGATTAATTTATTGTGTGGAAGGTGCGTAGTGAACAAAGTTTTTTTTTTTTTTTTTTTTTTTGCCAACCGTAGGGTTCCTAGTAAGGTCAGGCAATTACCATTTTAAAGAAAAGTTCAGTGGTGCTGCAACACCGTCTGTACGCTTCTCTTGCAGTTACCGCGTTATGTCGTTGATCTCGAAAGCACTACCATGTTCTAGAGGACGTCCATCAAATGACAGTAAAAGGCGTTCGTGTCGAACGCGACGTGCTGCGTCTCTATAACGTATGTTCGAGTTTCGAACGAAATTTTGAGTTCCTAACGCTATTCGATTTCAATAGAGCGCCCCCTACCACTTGGTAGCAGTACCCATCAAAGATCTTATAAACACAAGATAGCGTTCTCCGCGATTTACGCGTAACAAATAGAAGCGTCGGTCAAGGTTCAAAAGTTTCCAATTTAGCAAGAGGGCGTCATTCATGCGCTATTATACCAAAGAGAAAAAGTAATCAGTTTTGGAAGAGGGCGTCCTATCTGTTGCCATGGATTTGAGATGGTGCCTGTTCTGCTGTTCACAGTACGGTATGGTCATAGTGGTCAAAGGTCAAAAGTTTCCAATTTAGCAAGAGGGCGCCATTCATGCCTTATTACAGAATTTGCACGCGTAAATCGCGGAGAACGCTATCTTGTGTTTATAAGATCTTTGGTACCCATCAAAGATCTTATAAACACAAGATAGCGTTCTCCGCGATTTACGCGTAACAAATAGAAGCGTCGGTCAAGGTTCAAAAGTTTCCAATTTAGCAAGAGGGCGCCGTTTATGCGATTATACCAAAGAGAAAAAGCAATCAGTTTTGGAAGAGGGCGTCCTATCTGTTGCCATGGATCTGAGATGGTTCCTGTTCTGCTGTTCACAGGATTGGTGTACGGTGGTATGGTCAGAGCGGTCAAGGGTCAAAAGTTTCCAATTTAGCAAGAGGGCGCCATTCATGCCTTATTACAGAATTTGCACGCGTAAATCGCGGAGAACGCTAATCTTGTGTTTATAAGATCTTTGGTACCCATCATTCACCGGTACCGTTTCCGCCATCTTTAATTACTACATCATGACATAGTGTCTACAGCTCCCGTTGGGGGCAGTAGACACAAAAACGTTCAATGATCTTATCGGGATTCGAACCCAAAACCATCCGATTATCGGATACTTTACCAACACCGAGCTGAGGCCAAGCGGTAAACACCCTTGGATTTCCCCAATTAGAGCAGGTTTTTCTCAAGGTAATATGTATACGCAATCTATTATTGTTATCAAAGTTTATTTCATGTGCTCACCTCATAATCGGCCTTATAGTACGTCAAATAAAAACGTATACATTTCTGTGTACTGCCACATTTTTTTTTTTTATTAAACGCAAATGCAGTATGTATATTTTCTTACTTTAGCTCGACCTTTTTTCTTTGTCTCTGTTAGCTTAGCTTCCTGAACAAATATTCCAAAGACTGTAGGGCTGATTGACTGTAAATAAAAACAAATACAACAGCCGACAGTGAATAACAATCAGTGCCCACCGCACCTGACCTATACGTGCAAACCTACAACAATTAAAATATATCGTATGCTTTGATTTAAATTGTACATTATAACCGGCTTCTAACTTACTTTAGCTATTTATTGTTAGGCCACTAGCAACTAACAATTTAATATGATCCCTGTGACTTGAAGAAATCAGATGATACTGCAAGCGTACTCGAACTCGAAATGTTATGACCTTTGGACTATTGTCGTAATACAGTAGAACCTCGAATTTACGTACGGCACGGGACCGGAGGGCGTACGTAAATCGGGGGATTCGTAAAATAGAGGTTGTGTTAAATTTGTGGTAACCTTTGACCTA